GTTTTCTGCCACATGAACTGATGTTGTCTGCCTTGGAGCCAGTGGAATATGGACTGAACCCTCCAGTAACTGTGAGCTAAATAAACCTTTCTTGCCTTCATTTTCAGTGTCAGGTATTTGTCCCAGCAATGAGTAAAAAGTAACTAAGACAGAATTTGGTACCGGGAGTGGGGTCGTTGCTGTGGCTATACCTGACAATGTGGATTACAAGCTTTTAGGACTGGCTTATGGGAAGAGCTAGGAAAGGTTTGGGGAAAGGGAGAAGAAAAAGGGTAATGAATAAATAAATAACCGGGTTCCTGAACGGCAGAGGTCAGCAGTTTGTCTGTCCGCCTTCTGGGAGCTGCCTTTTTCTCCACCCGTCCCGGTCATGCTCTTGGCCTGTCTTGAGGGCATCACAGGAGGTGGCAGATTCTTGCCCTTTGCAGCCTCAGTATCACAAGGGTGAAGAACTTTGCTTTGAGGAGAAAGCTGCAGAGTCCCATGTTCCAGAATGGAGGCAGTGGCCACATCAGATTGCAGAATGGCGCTGGCATAGAGAATATGTTTCTCAGAACCAGGATCAGAGTGCTCAGTGATCCTGCACTCAACCCCTACAGTCAAGAGAGAGGAAACCCTGGCTTCTGCTCCAGCTGGCAGCAGCCCTTGGCGTCATCCACGTGGCTTTTTTGGTTGTAGGTGCATACAGAATGCAGGTGTTCTGAGGTTCAGAAGGCTTCTGCCCAGATTTCAGAAGAAGGGCTGGGAGGCCAGGCAGTGTGCCCCTGAGAGGGCAGTGTGTGAAGCTGTGAGTGAGAAGCCTACTCAGTGGAAACCTCAGAAGTTTGAAAAAGCCAGGAATGTGAATAGTTTAAGAAAAGCTGCAAAAAGGGAGCAAAACAGGCCTGAGAGAAAAACCATAGGAGCTACCAGCAGAAGTACCATAGGGGTGGAGCCACATAGGGCTTTTGGAGCTCACAACTCATTACAGGGTGCTTTGAATGGTCCACAGGGAACTACAGGACTTAACATTTGCCCTTCTGGACCTTGGACTTGTTTTGGTCCCAATTGTTTGTATGCAGCTGTGTATCCTTTTTGGAATGACAATGCTTATCTTGTGCCTGTGAATGTTTGAAGAATTTAACTTTTCATTTGTAGAGGGACTCACAGCTAAGAGTTTGCCTAAGATCTTGGAAGCTTGGGACTTGAAGTTTCCAGTGTTGCTGAAACTGGTAGGACTTTGGCAACTCTTAGAGATGGACTAAAATGTCTTTTGCATAAATGGATGTGCATGACTCTTTGAAGGGCAAGGGGTAACATGTCATGGTTCTAATGTAATGCAATGTTCTAGTTGTAAAATGTCTAAGCATGTCTGTGTACCTGGAAATTGGCTTAAAAAGGTATATGTCTAGTTGCCAAGTTGACAAGGGGTGGATTGTGTTAGTTGATACATTGTGTCAACTTGGCTGAATCAGCTCTGGCAGCGTGGGGACCTTGCCCTGCAAGTGGGCAGGGCCCAGGAATTGAGAAAGGCTTCCTGCCTCCCTGTCTGACTTCCTGTCTCCTGCTGCCCTGCCCCGCTTCTGGAGAAGTTCCGCTTCTGGAGAAGTCCCAGTCTTCAGAGGAGCTTGATCTTTGCAGCCACGCCACTTTGGAGCTCCGATCTTCACTGTGAAGCGCTGGTCTTTGCAGTCAGTGCAGAAGGAAGAGAGAGGCTTGATGGACGCCGATGCAGCTGCTGCTCCTCCTCTGCTCTTCATTGTTTTCTGCCGCATGAACTGCTTTTTTCTGCCTTGGAGCCAGCGGAATATGGACTGAACCCTCCAGTAAGTGTGAGCTAAATCTTTCTTTCCTTCATTTTCAGTGTCAGGTATTTGTCCCAGCAATGAGTAAAATGTAACTAAGACAGGATAGATATAAAATTACTTTCTCTTAATGAGAAAGAGAAGAAATGTCTGTGCTAATATTTTTTGACATGATATCATGTCTATATATTTTCCTCTGAAAAACTATATGAAAGCAGCAGTATACAACGTATTAAGTATTGTAACTGTCCTACTAACTTGTTTCGAAACCATTTCATTGCTATTTTATCTTTTTTCTCATGAAAATGAAGAAAACATAATAAAAGAAAAGAAAAAAAGAGATACAAGAAGGAATACATAGATAAAGGACTTAATAGCCAGCCCTTCCTGTTTTCTGTGGGTTGCAGGATCACAGGATGATTTCCTGCCATACTTTTAATCTTAAAAGAAAAAAAAGTACATACTAAAATAATGAGACTAAATAAAGCCATACAGGACAAATGTTGTCTATATAGTCCCATGCTTCTTCTCACTTCCTCCAAACAGAAGACCCCACAGCCCAGCAGTACATTATGCCAACACAACTGTACTCTTTTATAATAGGCCAGTTCTCTTTTTCTTTTTTATCCCATCTTTTTGTCTTTCTATCTTTTTTCCCCTTTTCTTTGGTGCATAGAGCACTGACTTGAACTGCCAGAAACTGGATTAAAGACTACAGGGCTGTACAGCAAATGAAACAACTAACCTGTTTCCTGTGATCTGTGGTCAGAAATGTGGGAAATCAAACAGCCTTGCACCTAGGAACTGTGCAGTCCCAGGCTATACCCATGTCAGGGGTGAGAGCACCCCACACTACCATCAATTGAACCTAATGAAGTTACAGTCCACAGCAGAGGCAGGTGGCCATGGATCTAGTAAAGAACAAATGGGAAGTTAGCACCCTGCCTTGGGAGTAAGAATTGTGATGGAGAGCCTAGCACTTCAACATCAGGAGCAGAGGACCAGAACATGTTACCACATCCCACACCAGCTTCCAACAAATGGCCTGAGAGGGCAGACATGGACAGTGAAAGAGAGACACAGAAGGCTGAGAAAGCGGCAGAAGGATCCAAAAGTGTTTAGAACTAGAACAGCCCACTGATTGTCTGAAAACAACACAGCACCTGGGAGAGAGACACCACCAAGAGAAACAAAAGGGGGTAAGGATTGGAGGCCACAAGGAACACACAGAAAGAACTGATTGAAGACCCCTGTCCCAGACCCCCACATCAGGAGGCCAACTTCAGCCTCAATTTCAGCACAAACTCTATGGTAGGCTTGGTAGTGTTGTTCAGCAGTGTTGGAGTTTCGGTGGATGTCAGAATAACTTTGTTCTTGTCTTTTACTTCTTTATTTTAATTTTTGTTGTTGGTTTGTTGTTTGTTTCCACTCTCTTTTGATTTTTCATTTGCCTCTATTTTTCTTCTAATATATTTGTCTTTTTTCCCCTTTCCTCAAATTTGCCTCTCTAGACACAATCATATTTTCGTAGGAGTGAATCATCTCTATTTTTTCCGGTCAACTCCAATAATGCCTTACTTACTTCCTGATCCTTTCTCTTTTTTAGCATCTCAAATCTTAGTGATGTTTCTTTGCCTCCAGCTTGGCTTCTTTCTACTCTTTCTTTTTAATTATTTCTGTTCTATCCAATATCCTTCTTAATTTCCCCCACCACAAATAAATAAATCCGCCAATGATAAACACTTGGCATATAAAATCTCAAAAAAAAGAGTAAGTTGTTGGTTTATTAAGAACTTATAAGCATGGAAGAGAATGTGGAATTGGGTGGTGGCCCTGGACGACCTGATGACACTGCCCAAGGTCGTGTGGTGACCTGGCTTACAGAACTGTTCCTCACCATGGTACCACCTAGATGCTTTCTGAATGACCACCTTAGGAGCCCATATGTCTCCCAACCCCTCTTCTTCCTCCTATTTTCTCCCACTGCCTTCTTCTCTAAGTCATCAACTCACACCAGGCAGGACATTCATGGCCTCTGGGCTGCCTCCATCTGTGTGAACCTGGTCAGAAACTCAACATGGCTCCCTCTGCCTCTCTGCAGGGCTCCCATCTGGAGTAAATCTGGCCTTAAGATTCAGCCCCTCAACTCAGAGTCTGAGTTGCCACTCTTGTTCTAGATCCAGCAGGCACTGCCTTTCTGAAGTAATGACACAGCCTTTCTCCTCCCTTGCCCTGTCCATCACGTACCCTCCTCACAGGTACTGTGGACTAAGGTGGAAGCTATAACCTCATCCATGTGTTGCACTTTCACACCAGGTGGTGGTTGAAGGAGAAGATTGTAGTAGTCCTCTGTGAGAGGACTGGGCAGGATGAGACACTGCTGTAACAGAAAAGCCCAGAAGGTGTAGGCAGGAACACCCAGAGGGTCAGGACTGCTGTCCAGCTCAGGCTCCTGCCCTACTTCCAACACTTCCTCCCACAAGAACAGTCCAGAAGATTTCAGACAGTAGCCAGGACACTCCTCCGGCCAGGGATCAGTTGACCTGGACCTAAGACAGGGTCTGCATGTCTGGAGAGGCATCTGTCTCTATGTGAAGTCACATGGTCTAGCATGTTTTTATAGCCTCCCATGCACAACAAGACTCTAGCCACTCAGAATATTAGCTCTAGTGTCCATTTTCCTGTCTCATCTATGCTTCAGGCCATGCCCTTGCCCCTGTGCCCACACAGTGTGATATCTCACTGCTTGTCCAAGGTATACATGGCCAGAGTGTTGGTCTTGCTCCCCTGCATCCCCATTACACACATCCCTCAGAAACAAAGGTTTGGGAGTGAGATACCAAGTTCCCATTACCAGCCTGCCTGAAACAGTATCAGCAGGAGTCAGCAGTGGAGGACAGAGGCCCTGCTGAGAACATGCAGCAGCCAAGCCTGAGCCTGTTCTCCAATAGTGAGTGTGTAGAGACCTGGCCTGTGAATGCATTTTATGTTGCTTGGCTTTCTTACTGGCCTTCTTGCTGTCCCTCTGTGTTCCTCCTGGAGCCCCCAGAGCCACAAGATAGCTTTTAATTTGGGTTCTGCTCAGAGGTCACACAGCACAAAGGTGTAGAAATGGAAGGTGGTTCACTTGAGAACTTTGTAGTAAGGCCATTTCTCAAAAAAAAAGTAACAAAAATACTGGAGGTCACATCAATATTTATTTCAGGACAACACACATGCAAACAGCAAAGCAGCACATGAGGACCCAGTGCTGTGAACATGGTGGAGATATTGTGCTGGTATGGAGAGAAGGCTGATCCTAGAGAGCAGAGCTGGAAGGATGTGGGAAGAGGCACATGTTGAGGAACATTCAGGGCAGGCCACCCAAGGCCAGGCCCTGTGGTTGGGCTCCTGGTCTCACATGTCTTCTCACATCTCAGTCACTTCACCTGCAGGTGAGAGAGGCAGTATGAGTGGCCATCCCAGTAGGAGAGAAGGTGTAGGCAGGAACACCCAGAGGGTCAGGACTGCTGTCCAGCTTAGGCTCCTGCCCTACTTCCAACACCAGCTTTCATCTGCACCATCTACCTTGAACAGGGTGACAGTGGTGCTGTAGAAGAGGCTCAGCAGGAAGAGCACGATGAAGGTAGAGGCAGTGGTCCACAGGTTATCGAAGCCTTCCTCCTCAGCATTCACCTCCCCCTCTGCAGGGGACACAGGAGGAGGGAGTGTCAGGGTGCCTGCAGCCCACTTGGGGCTGGGAGCACATAGTTCACAGTATGGCCAGCAGCCAAGAGCCAGGGTGAACAGAAGCAGAACTGGACCAAGCAGGAGCAGATAGAAATGCAAAACCTTGTTCTGGGGCCTTGGGTGACAAAGAGAGCATGACAGATGTAGCATATGAACACAGGAGAAGGTACACGAGGGACTGTGTGTTCGGTGAATCTTGGACTCTCCTTGAACAGGGCCACAACCAGAGCCATTTGGCTAAGGAGCAGGGTTGGTGTGGAGTGCATGGGGGGAGTGAGGGCCAGGATACCCCTGGTCACCTCCGCAGGACTCTGATAACAATAGCAGAGCCCATAGTACATCTTTCTGGGTGTTGCTTCCTTACCAAAGTGACAGAAACCTTGGGACAGTTTGCCCTACAAGAATGACAGACACTAAGGGACATTGGAAGGCAGTTCCTCTTTTACCAGAGTAGCATAGGCCTCAGGACATCAATGCTGAGATGGGGCAGAGAGAGGCCTGGGGAACATAGTGGGGAGCAGCATTAGGGCACATTTGTAGCTCTTGGGACAAGAAAGGAGCAATCTCAACCAGCACTGTTCCTTCAGTGTAGAGACCTAGCTGGGTCCTTCCATGTATGTGCCTGCTTCCTGCAGAGTGGCCATCTGTTCTCTGTGTCCCCAAATATGTGGGGTGTGTGTCTTCAGGGCCATCATGCTAATGTGGACTCTGGTGACCACCTCAGAGAGGGTGGGCACCGCCTGCAAAGTGGGTCTGGACACCACCATTCTTTCAATCACCCTGGAACATACTGCATTGGGAAGCCATCCACCCCAGAGCCAGGCTGTACAGTACCTCCCTAGAAAGCCCTACACTTAGATTGAGCTTGTTCAGAGGATGCAGACACCCTCTCCTGTGAGGTGCTCTGATTTATTGCTATGGACCTAGGGAGGCACCCCATTTAGAGTCTAGGCTTCACGGGTCCTGAAATAACTCCATGCCAGGACAGAGAGACAAGAAGAGTGTGGAGAACCCTGAGAAAGCATAGGGTGGGGAGCCACAGCTAGGGAGGCCAGAGTTGTGTGTGTGTGTGTGTGTGTGTGTGTGTGTGTGCATGTTGATGTGGTAAGACTCTACCATGTGTGCAGCTGCTCCTGTGCACACGAGTCTTCCTGTCCACATGTCTTTGTGCCTAGTGCATGTACATGCACATGCTTCTCTGTTTGTTCACGTCTTCTGATTTTGTGTGTAGTGGGCAAGTGGTCAAGCACTTCCATCTGTGTGTGTGTGTGTGTGTGTGTGTGTGTGACTGTGCATGAGTACCTGTTTGTGTGTTACTGCCCAGTGTGTGTGTGTGCACTCATGCACATCTGTGTGCTTCTGTGTTGGTGTGTGCAATGAGTGCATTTATGTGCACATGTCCACAAGAATGTGTGTGTGTCCCTGCATACCCACGAAGGTGCCTCTGTGCCTATTTACCAGCATGACCCAGGGCTCAGACATGTGTCAGAAGTAGCTACAGGGTCCACAAGTACACATACTGCCTGTGCAAGGGTGTGCAAGGAGCCAGGGCCTCCCCGGACACTGGGAAGCCAAGTGCCAAGGCAGGAATGGCAAGGTAGAGGGGCTGCAGGCAGTGGCCAGGGAAGGCACAGCACAGCCATGGCCAACAGGCCAGTGCATTGTACACTCAATACCAGCATCTTTTGAAGGGATCTTTTTATTTCTAATTTTAGGAAATGCAACACCACAACCCCAACAAGGTTGTTCTGCATGCACACAGGCAGAGCAACTGGAGAGAGCGCTGAGCTGGCTGGGGCATTGTGGTCAGTAGCAGGTGCGGGCTGTGTCAGACATGATCAGGGACACATTGTACAGGGTGGGTTTACCGGTGGACTTGTCCACGGTCCTCTCGGTCACCATGTGCGGCAGGCCCTCATGGCCCACGACACAGGTGAAGGTCTCCCCTGAGCTCCAGTCTTCCTCAGTCACAGTCAGCAAGCTGTGGGCATAGTAGAGGCCTGGGGTGTGGGGCTCAGGCATTGGAGAACTGGTCACATACTTGTCTGAGGACAAGGGCTGCCCACTCTTCAGCCACTGCACAAAGACGTCTGCAGGAGCAAAGCCCTTCACTAGGCAGAAGATGGTGGCCTGCTCATGCAGGACCAGCTGCTCCCGGGCTGGTGGCAGCACATACACAGCAGGGGGCTTCTTGTTCTTAACTGTGGATGAAGGGGTGTTGATGAGTGCAGGACAGCCAAGGTGGGGGACTGTTGGGCTCTTGGGTGAGGGTGGGGTCTGGGCCTACCTTTGGACTTGAAGATGGTCTTCTTCACTGGGAAAGGCAGGTCCTGGTGGATCACAGTGCATGTGAACTCCTTCCCAGAGTCCCACTCTTCCACACAGATGCTGGCCTCACCAATGGCACTTAGAGTGCCATTGTCATGGCTCTTAGGGTCTCCAAATTTTGTTGTCAGTTCCTTGCCATCGTTCATGGACCAGGAGATGTTCAGTCCCCCAGGGTGGAGCAGGTCAGTGACCAGGCAGGTCAGCTTGACAGACTTGGTGTGGAAGACATCATAAAACGAGGGAGGAATGGTGAAGACACGAATATCTGTGGCTGGAGTTGCTGTGGAGAGAACATTTCTATGAGTGATGGTTGTGTGTGAACTCAGGAAAGGATGTAGAGCCTAGATCCAATCCTGCTCCAGGGAATTGTAATCTCCCTACTGCTCCCTGCCCTACCCTTGAGAGTGCCAGAAATTCAAGGCTCAGGAGTAAGTAGCCAGGTCTTTGTGGCTTCTGCCACACTTTCATGGACAGCTCTGGAGGTAATTTGGGTTGAAGGGACCTGGGCAGGGGATAGGTACTTACTGGGGATACACACGGAGGAGGACACATTCTTTTTAATGATGCCTGTCTTGTGAGTCACACGGCAGGTGAACATCTTCTGGCCCAGCCAATCATCCTCACGGATGGTCAGTGTGCTGGTAACCCTGAAAGTCGGGAGGGACGAGGCATCTTTTTTCTCAGCCACTACCTGGTCTGTGACAATGCCGGTCTCTATAATCTTTCCATCCCGCAGCCAGGACACTGTGATTTGCTTGGGGCTGAAGCCTGTGGCCTGGCAGATGAGTTTGGATTTACGAGTTTGAAAGAAGGATTCTCGGGGTGGGACGAACACAGTCACATTGGGGGCCTGCTGCGCTTGCCCTAGAGTAAGGAAACAAGATGTGAGCTTGGCCCAGACCAAGTCTGTGTGGTGCCCCTCTTGGCCATGCTGGGGTTTTCTGGGTCCGATGGGAGGCCTGGGTCTTACCTTCAATGATTACATCTGTGTCTTTGTTGTTTGTGCCGTGGACAACCTTGCACACTAGGCGAATGTCAGTGTCTTGGATGACATCCTTGGAGCTCAGGAGCAACTGGGATGTGGCCGCATATTTGCCCCCAATCAGTATTTCTGGGAAGGTTCTGGCAACCTGGTTTACTTCAGAGTTGTTGTTCTTGTAGGTCCAGGAGAAGGACACTTTACTGGGCAGGTAGTCCCGTGCCAGGCAGCCCACAGATACCTGGTTGCCCTCAGACAGGGGTCTCTCACAGGAGACAAGAGGAAAGACAGCCGGATGGGATTCCTTTGCTGGAGACCAGAGAGGCACAGAAGAGGAGTGTGAAATAGTGTCTCTTATATTCTGTGCACCAAGAGTCTGTCAGGATTTTCCACCCTTACTGGCTGCCCCTCAGAAGGGCTGGGCCCTCATGGCCTCTGAGGCCTCAGAGGGTAGTACCAGCTGTTCTCATAGGCCTGTGGCTGCTGGGAGACTTTGTTGGCCTCCTTCTGTAGGAGTCAAGGATGTAAATGCTGTGGGAGCAGACTGGATTGTGTGCTGTGGGGCCATTGCACTGTGCTCACTTGATTAGTGAAGAATACAAGGAGCCCATAAGGCCAGGCCTCAAGGCTACATGGAAAGCCAAAGGGTCATTGCAGGCAGCTGTAGCTCTGCATGGGCATATGGGATCTCAGGCCAGCAGTGGGGCTGTGTGAGGGAAGATACAAGAATGCTGTGTTGGATGGGACAGCAGTGTGGCTCCATTTCAGCACAGCCTGATCAGGGACACTTGCTCAGCAAAGAGTTCCCAGGGTCAGGCTCCATGGCTGGTCAGACTAGCAGGAGCCACATGATCTTTCAAAGCCTGACTAGACCAGATGGACAGATCCCAATGAGCTGGCCGGGGTCTCCCAGATAAACAGGAATCAGTGCAATCCAGCTCTGGAGCACCACAGGCACTCAGCCCAGCTCAGCCCAACCCAATGTAGCCTAGGTCTGGGGATCCCAGCCAGTGCAGCATACCCAGTGCAATTTAGTTTGGCCCAGCTCACCCCAGTGCAAGTGAGCCTGCCTCACTGTAGATCTGCTAAACTTAGCCAAATTCATCTCAACCCAGTTTAGTTCAGTCCAGCTCTGTTCACAAGCTCACATCACACTGTTCAGCCCTCTTTAGCCTGGAACTGCTGAGCTTAGCTCAGTTCTGCCACTTTGGCTCCGCTCATTTTAGTCCACTCAGCTTGAGGCATCAAGTTTAGCTCAGCCCAATCCAGGTACCTCACTTCAGCTGGGCCAAGTTCAGCACAACCGGGCTCAACTCTGTATAGTTAGCTCCATTCAATTAAGCTCTGCTAACGAACTTATATAATTTACCCTACTCATCCAGCCCAGCTCCACACAGTTCAGTTCGATCCAGCCCACGTTTGCTAGCCCAGTTCAGCCAGCTCAGTTCACCTGACCCAGGACAGTATGGCTAGCCTAGCTCAATTCAGCCAGCCCAGCCCAGCCCAGCCCAGCCCAGCCCAGCCCAGTGCAGCACAACACAGCACAGCACAGCACAGCTCTGCTACCACAGCTCAACCCAGGCCAGGTCAGCTTGGCTAAGCCCTGATCATCCCAGCTCAGCCCAGCCTGGGCTAGTACAATCTGACCCAGCTCCACTAGCTCCAGTCAGCCCAGATCAGTTCAACCCAGCTCTGCTAGCTCAGCCCAGCTCTGCTAATCCAGCTCTGCTCAGCTCAGACTCACTCAGCTTAGCTCAGCTGTACTATCTCTGCTTAGCTCAGCCCAGCTCAGCTCAGGCCAGCCCTGCTAGCTCTGCTCAGCTTAGCCCAGCTCTGCTTGCTCAACTCAGTTCCACACAGCTCAGCCTCACTCAGTGCAGCACAGGTCAGCTATCCCAGCTCAGCCCTGCCTAGCTCATCTAGTTAAGTTCAGCCACACTCAGCTCAGCCCAGCTCAGCTCTGCTCAACCCAGCCCAGCTCTGCTAGCCCAGCTCAGCACTGCTCAACCCAGCCCCACTCAGCTTAACCCAGCTCTGCTAGCCTAGCTCTGCTTATACAGATCAGGCCCACTCAACCCAGCCCAGCTCCACTCAGACCAGCTCAGTCCAGCCTAACTGTGCTAGCCCAGCTCTGCTAGTCCAGCTCAGACCAGCTCGACTGAGCCTTACTCAGGTCAACCCAGCTCTGCTGGCTCATCTCAGCCCCACTCAGCTCAGCTAATCTCTGCTAGCTCAGCCCTGCTCTTTTAGCCCAGCTCATCCCAGCTCAAACCAGTTCCACCCAGCTCAACCCAGCCCTACTCAGCCCAGCCCAGCTCAGTCCAGCCCAACTCTGCTAGTTTAGCTCAGCCCAGCTCTGCTCAGCTTGGCTCAGCCCAGTTCAACCCAGCTCTGCTTAGCTCAGTTCAGCTCATCCCAGCCCAGCTTTGCTAGCTCAGCCTAGCTCTGCTAGTCTAGCTCTGATAGCTCAGCCCAGCTCTGCTAGTCCAGCTCTGCTAGCTCAGCCCAGCTCTGCTCAGCTCAACCCAGCTCTGCTCAGCTCAGCCCAGCTCTGCTAGCTCAGCTCAGTTCTGCTAGTCCAGCTCTGCTCAGCACAGCACAGCTCAGTCCAGCCCAGCTCTGCTAGCTCAGCCCAGTTGTGCTAGTACAGCTCTGCTCAGCTCAGCCCAGATTTGCTAGCTCAGCCCAGCTCTGCTAGCCCAGCTCAGCCCAGTTCAACACAGATCTGCTTAGCTCAGCCCAGTTTAGCCCAGCTCAGCTCCACTCAGCTTAGCCCAACTCTGCTAGCCCCACTCAGTTTAGCCCAGCTCTGCTAGTCCAGCTTTGCTCAGCTCAGCCCAGCCCAGCCCAGTTCAGCCCAGCTTGCTAGTCTAGCTCTGTTAGCTCAGCCCAGCCCAGCTCTGCCCAGTCCAGCTCTGCTAGCCCTGCTCAGTTTAGCCCTGCTCAATCCAGCTCCACTCAGCTCAGCCCAGGTCTCCTAGCTCAGCTCAGCTCTGCTAGTCCAGCTCAGCTCAGTTCAGCCCAGCTCTGCTAGCCCAACTCAGTCCTGCTCAACCCAGCCCCACTCAGCTCAACCCAGCTCTGCTAGCCTAGCTCTGCTATTACAGATCAGCCCCACTCAACCCAGCCCAGCTCCACTCAGCCCAGCTCAGTCCAGCCTAGCTGTGCTAGCCCAGCTCTGCTAGTCCAGCTCAGCCCTGCTCGACCAGGCCCCACTCAGGTCAACCCAGCTGTGCTGGCTCATCTCAGCCCCACTCATCTCAGCTAATCTCTGCTAGCTCAGCCCTGCTCTTTTAGCCCAGCTCAGCCCACCTCAAACCAGCTCCACTCAGCTCAACCCAGCCCTACTCAGCCTAGCTCAGCTCAGCCCAGCCCAGCTCTGCTAGCTTAGCTTAGCTAAGCCCAGCTCAGTCCAGCCCTGCTCTGCTAGCTCAGCCCAGCTCTGCTAGTCCAGCTCTGCTCAGATCAACCCAGCTCAGTCCAGCCCAGCTCTGCTAGCTCAGCCCAGTT